CCAGGCCCAAGCGCGTCAATGTGGGCAGAGCAGGCATCGCTTTGCAAATTGGAACTGACTCTGTGGAATTGGTAAGCTGCAACAAGCTTGCAAAGCCACTGCAGCTCATACTCCACAGGTCCTTCCTTTTCATGCAAGGCGAAGATCAACTTGCGTGAAACCGCTTGAAGCTCTTTTCTGTATTTCTGTGTGTGCTGGTTGACGTACAACAAATATTTGCGGCACAGGGAAGCTGGGTCTGGGTTGTCTGAAGCAACAGTTTCTGCGTCGTCGAAATGCTGGAAGTACTTGTCATAGGTTGCATGGAGATCGGCGCGCATGTTGGCAATGAAGCTGTTCACTTTCCTGACTTGGAGAAGGCAACAACCCCCGCGTTACGCTACTTCCAAAAAAGTAATCCTACTGAAGAAAAAGCTTTTTTGGTCCCAAGAACGGCAAGATCTTTCCCGAGAACATGGCGCAGTGGTCGCAATAGTCGGTCAAACCATGCCCGCGCCTTACATGAGGGCACTCTGCTCGTACAATGCGCGTGAAACTCATATAGCTCATCTTTGCAAGCAACTGCTCGTCTTCCAAGTAGATCTGCAAAGGGCTGCTAGTCCAACGTCTCACCACAACCTTAGCGATGAACATGTCTTCAATCTTCATGTTGCGCTATAGCGATCTCTTGCGTACAAAACCCCATGGAACAACCAAAGCAAGAATGAACATTGCCACGGGACAGCTTCCGCTTCCTTGCTCTTGGCATTCTGCGAAGGCACCATCATAAACTTGGATGTCTCCACCGAGTTTCGTAGGGCAGAACTTTTCACCAAATCCACCACAGCAGGGTCATCTCGAATCCTCGGCCTACCCAACCGAGACACGGGCTTGTGCGTAGTAGAAGCAGTTCGCCACACTCTCCGGGAAATGTGAATTCCAAATTGCTTGGCCGACCTCCTATTTTTAAAGCCACCCTTCTGCACGGATTGCACAAAAGCAGTCCTCACCTTGTGGTCTCGCGAGGGCAGATTCTGGCTAAGTTCTGAGAGCACAGTGGCCAGATCCCTGCACCGGCATGACATGCTCAAGCCCAATGTTTGAAGTTCATCAGCAAGACCCGGATACATCGAAGCAGCTTTGCGTAGTAAAAGCACAAGAAAGTTGGCTATCTCTGTTGCGCCACTCTTGCGAGCATTAAGGCCCTCAAAAATGTCCCGTATCATCTTGTTCGTGGACCAGTTGCTTGCTGTACTGAATTTGCCCAAACGTCTACCTCGTCGTCGTCTGGAGGGCAAGTTCTCTTTCGCAGACACTGGATCGTCAGCACACATTTCCACATCAGGAGCACGTTCTCTAGCGTCCTCATCTCGGTGGTACGCTTCGTATTCGGGAAGAAGTTCTAATTGTTCGGATCTGGGCAAAGATTGAAACCGTTGGGAGCATTCAGTCCTCTTCCAGTTGTCCAAATCTCGCCGCCTGGCATTCTCTCCCTTTTGCTGCTTCGCGTTCCTTTCTAGGCTGTCGTCTCTTTGCTTTCCAAATTGTCGGTAAAAAGCATCTCGGCCTGCGTCTCTCAACCGTTTTCTTTCCACAGGTGTCAACATCATAGCGTAAGGACATTCACTTTGGGCCGCAAAAGGCGAACTACTCACAGATGTCATCTGCGTGCACATTCTGCTAGCGGATCTCTAGCGCCTACGCTAGCGACAATCACTCTGAAAAAAATATGACAATCTGTAGTCCGTAGTATAGTATTTTGATAGTACACAATACCTACTATAACAATCAGTCGCCCTCATACAGCACAGAGCGAACAGTCACAGAACAACATCAAAAAACACGCCTCACACCTCACGACATTCTGCACACTCGACTTCTCTACTGCACTCCCCTGCAGTCTTGAAACCCCGGGCCCCAAACCACCATGTGCTATCACAGAGTGGGTCTAAATCAGCGAGACTGCTTCAAATGCCTCAGGATTTCTTGCTGGCACTCAAAGATCATTCTCTCAGAAGGAGTCATCTTAACATCGCTGGCTCCTCTGAATTTGAACCTTAGACAGCGAACAATTTTCGAAAAAGATCAAGCTACATAAAAACAGATGCAAAAGAAACATGTGCTCTATGGAGGATACAAGCTTCGCTTCATCCGCTTGTTGGCCGACTCTTCCTTCACTGCTTCAATGATCTCATGGGTCCAGTTGGCTTCGGCCCGCGCATGGCGCCTTTTCAGGCTGGTCTCACAATCTCCGCACAAGGCATTGCGGAAACTAGAGTTCCTGCCAGTACCGCACACCTTGCAAACTTTCGCTTTTGTTGTGCACCCTCCAAAGCCCACACGCCCTGCAGTGCCAACTCTCCTGCTTGTCTTCTCAGGGGTCTCGAGAGACAGGTCTGCTGCTGGCTTGCGAGAGGTGGTATTCACTTCGGCTCCATCACAAGGAGAACTCTCAACTTGCACGGCTGCTGGCTTAGGAGAGGTGGCCTTCACTTGAAAGGAAGCAACAGGAGAACTCTCAACTTGCTCGGCTGCAAGCTTGGGAGAGGTGACCTTCACCTTGGCTACAGCACCACAAGAACTTTCAACTTGCTCGGCAGCTGGCTTAGGAGAGGTGGCCTTCACTTTGCCTGACTCACCCGGAGAACCCTCAACTTGCTCGGCTGCTG